TAGATTTCTATACCTATTTGAATTGCTCAAGGAGCAAGAAAATGAGCAAAAAAGAGAACCAAAACTGAGCTCTAGACCAGGTCCAGACCACTTGTGATGGAAGCAGTCTGATCACTACCTTGGCAGTGACCAGTCCAGGAACACCAAACCAGTCTCCATAGCCACTGGCCTGGGATGATCAGGAGTTGGTCAGTAACTGTCAGTTTCCCTAGTTGTTTTTCCCTATTCCTAACTTAGAACCAAACCAGAAAAGGTCACGTTCCTTAAATCAGTAACATAAGGCTGTCTTGTTTGTAGTTAGCCCGCCTGCAGCTTCCCTGTCACAAACCTCTAGTAACAGCACACCCATGCCTTCACACCATGCTTTCCCACTGTGAGGCTTTCCTAAACCCCTGCTGTTTGTAAGTCTCTGTCAACAAGTGACATGGAGGGCCAGGCATGGTGACCCACACCTTTAATTCCAGCATCCAGGAGGCAGAGGCAGGCAGATCTCTGCGAGATTGAGGCCAGCCTGGTCTATATAGCGAGTTTCAGGCCTGCTAGGGCTATAGGGAGACCCTGTCTCAAAAATACCCTAAGAAAGTAACATGGATAGACTCACACCAATGGGCATTTGGGGACACAAATTTTACCTGGTAGGTATTATATATGTAACGGAGTACATGAAACAGGAGAGGGGATGTTAAGGTGGGGGTGCAGATAGGGAAGGGCATCTAAATATGATCAAAATACACTGTATGAAATTCACAAAAATTAAATGAAAAAGATGACATGAAACGCTGTCTTGCAGTAGGCGCACAATAAATAGCTCTGCTTCCTCTCATGTGGTTAGTTACCCTTTATCTCTACAAAGTTAAAGATCACAGTAATCCCCCACCTGGGCTCTACTTTCCATGGTTAGTTCCCCATGATCAACTGTAGCGTGGAAAAATTAAATTAAAGCCATAAGTTTTAAATCAGACTCTGTTCTGGGTACCATGATATCTCCTGCCATCTGAGCATGTTCCATCTTGCCCAAGAAGTAAACCTTCCCTTTTACCTTATATGTATGTTGTGTATACGCTATCCATTTATTAGTCACTTGTAGCTATTCCAGTTATCAGATATGCAATACCTGGTACTATTGATGGTATCGGGATGGTGTCGGGTATCCACTGGGTGGCTTGGAATGCATCTCTTGCAGATAACAGGAATCTATTACAGGGTGATTGCTTGGTTGTCTCTTAAAAAATACAGTTCCTTACAGTACTTCCTCCACTTTTAAAAATTATTTTTATTTTATGTGTATGCCTGTATTGCCTGCATGTAGTTAGGTGCAGCCGTATCATGCAATGCCTGCATGGTACTAAAGTTACAGTTGTTAGCTGCCATATGGGTGCTGGGATTCGAACTTGGGTCTTCTACAAGAACCAGTGTTCTTAACCACTGAGCCATCTCTCCAGCCCCTCCTCTACTTATTTCAGTGAGTATCTTCTAAATAGCTTGAATTTTTCCATTCTAAGTCCTTCCTTTTCTTGAGACAGAGTCTTACACTGTAGCCCCCAAACTGCTGAGATCTTGTCTGTCTCCCAAGTGCTTGGATTAGGGTTCCTATTCTTTTTTTTTTTAAATCTTTGTGTAGGAATGTATTTATTGCCTGAATGTATACAAGTGCACCTGTGTTGTGCAATGCCTGCGGAGGTCAGAAGAGGGTGTCAGATCTGATGGAATGTCTCATCACTGAAGGCCATAAGTCTTCTGAGACTACTTGGTAGCCTTGCCCAACCCACATTGGTCAACCACAACCCAGAAAGAACTGTTTGTTGAGACAGCTTGTTTCTCAAGATAGGCCATCTGGCTTGAGTAAGCAGTTCCAGGAAAGCAAGGCCATAGGCTTGGAAGAAAAACCCTGACCTGCAACCGGCCCCCCCATTCACTATGTCACCTTCCCCACTCTCAAACCTCTCTATAAACCTCCCACTCCATTCACCACCTTGCAGTAGGCTGCATCCTGCTGAAAAGCTGCTGCCCCTCACCGTATGGAAATAAACAGTCTTGATCTGTTGGAAGTCTGGCACTGGTCCTTTCTCCGTTCTTTTCTGAATTCTAATTTATAACAGGATCCTCCGGAACTGGAGTTACGGATGGTTGTTAGCTGTCATGTGGGTGCTGGATTTGAACCCGGGTCCTCTGCAAGAGCAGCCAGTGCTCTTAACTGCTGAGCTATTTCTCCAGCCCCTGGTGTTCCTATTCTTAAAAAATCACTTTCTAGGCTGGGCATGGTGGTACACGCCTTTAATCCCAGCACTTGGGAGGCAAAGGCAGGCGGATCTCTGAGTTCAAGGCCAGCCTGGTCTACATAGTGAGTTCCAGGACAGCTGGGGCTACAGGGAGACCCTGTCTCAAAAAGACCAAAAAAATAAAATAAATAAATCACTGTCTATAACCTCACTTTTCTTTCCAGAAACGGATGAAATTCTTCAAACCCTTGGTCTGCTGCTCTACCTTATTGTTCTGAGGAGGAATTCAAATTTTTTCACCTTACCAGACTGTGTGGCCATGGAGTCTCCAGAAGATTTCTCAAGTTCTTTGAAACTCACAGAAGCAGCCCAACGTACAGGAAGCCACATGCCTTGGTGGAAGAGCGGGCCCCACAACAGGGCTATGATGCAGGCACCAGCTGTCTCCTACAGACCTCTGGTCAAGGTCTCAGGCCTTAGGCAGCACATGCAGCTGTATTATGTATTCCCTGCACATGGATCAGACTCTTCTAAACCCTGGTAATTCCTTTCTCCACAAAGAGATTGGGGTGCTGGTGGGATGTGAACAACCAAAGACAACATAGTTGCTCTGGTCCTATGTCCATCAGTGACAAAGATGAAGCACTCACTTACGCTGACTTTAGTATTTTTATTCATGAAGTTGACAGTTTTCAGGGTAGATATCTCCATTATAAAATACCAAAATTGTTTCTATTTCAAAACCAAAAAAACAGTTAATATACGTAAGCTCTGGAATGCACTTACCTTGTTTACTAACACTTATTTTCAACTGGAATTGCTGTCATCTGATCATATACCCTGGTGCAGGAGGGATTTCTCAGTGCCTGAGATGGTCTCAGGCTATGGGTTTCGTCCACATTGCTAGGCTCAGTTCCTCACAATGCCACCACAACAAGATGTGTCCCTGTCAAGTTTCCCCTGCCTGGGCTTCAGTTGAGATCTAAGTTGGCCAGGTCCTGTGATTTAACACATTCCCAAGATACCTACAAAAACATCTTGTCACTTGACACAACACAGAAAGCCACAGTCACAAAGATGAACTGTTTTTTTTTTTTGGATGTTCACAAAGAACATGGAAGCTTACCCTCAGCTTGAGATGGTCACCCTCTGCCCTTGCTATAGGCCATGGCAACATGCCTAAATAAATCATAAGCAACCATACATACATATACATATACACGTATCTTACCTAAGATGAGCCGTCCTGTGTATCCCAGTACCCCAGTGACCAGTGACATGAGGAAGCTCCAGGTAAGCTGATGCCATGAACAACAGGAAAGGGACTTTCTGTGTGGACTAAGAGCAGAGGCCATGCTGGTCCATCTCCACAGTGGAGTGGACACAGACCCCTGCTGCTAGTGTTCCTCCTCTCTCACACATCTTGCCTGTGGCCACAGAGGTAGGGATGGATGTCCTAAGCCTTCCTGGACCAGCCCTCTAGCGGCAGGGACAGCTATGTATGCTATGTGAGTGTGCTTGAAGGAAGGAGAGGAACAGTTCTGTCTGCTTGGGGGGGGGGGCGCACTTTCTTCACACAAGTGCAAAGTATGCTTCCTCTTCAACTTTTCTTTTTATACATAAAGCATTTACCTAAGACTTGCTCTCAGATATCTCCATTATGAAATAAGCTGGCCACATAGCAGGATATGACAGAAAAAAAAATCCTTCATGGAAGTTTGTGGGTATTTTTAAAAAGTATTTTATTATTTTTATTTTATGTGTGTGAGTATATTGTCTGCACGTATGTAAGTGCACCCCTGTCGTGCAATGCCTGTGAGGTCAGAAGAGTGCATTGGATCCCCTGGAACTGGAGTTATGGATGGTTGTTATTACCCGTGTGTGCTGGGAATTGAACCCAGGTCCTCTGTAAGAGCAGTTAGTGATGGGAAATGCTGAGCCATCTCTCCAGCCCCAGTGGGTATTGTTTGTTTACAAAAAAAGTACAACACACACACACACACACACACACACAAACACTCACGAAGTTTATGCTCTTGAAAAAGAGACTAGCTTTTGTCAACACACTGGTGTAAAATGTTGCCCTGAGCCACCTTTGAAGCTTAGCATTGTATTTATTTACTTCCAGCTTTCGTGGTCTAGATTAAAGGAAACAGATGTAGAGGGGGCTTGGAGCTTGGCCTTGAAGGGTGGGGCAGTTGTTGAGTGATCTATGTAAATCCTGTGAGTATACACGTGTGTGCAGTAGAAATGCCACAGGCCCTTAGCACCCAACACACAATGTCATAGATGAGACTGGTGTTGCTAACAATTGCTATTTGCATGGACCAGGATGAAGGTACCAGTGGGGGTTTGAGGAGCTCATGGGATCCCAAGAAGCACCTAGGATATGACCTAAGTGGCAGGCATACTAAGCTTCATAAGTGGCAGAGGACAATTTTCCTCCGACTCTGTGGGACTTTTGCTGATGACTATGAGCGTTTTCAATTCTAATAACAGAGATTATTATTGAATAGTCAGTAAAATATATTCTTTCAAATTTCAAGAAATTAGCAAAGAATTTCTAGAGAACAGTGAATGCATGAACTCAACACCAGCCACAGCTTTGTTCTAAGGAAAGTTGCCTGCAGGAAGTCCTAGAATGTCGGGGTTAGGCAAATCATCTGAATATTGTACAAGACACATCAGAAACATTATCAAGAACCACTGGTCCACCATCCCTATTGCTCTCCTATGACTACTATGACAGATTTCCTTGCGACATTTTAATTGTGTGCAGAAACAAAATCAGAGACCTCAAGTTTCCAACTAGAAAGTTAAAGAGAAAGGAAAAAAATTTACACATTTGATGATACATGATTTTATTTACACAACTGAAATTATTTTCCTTAGTCACCTTGATTACAAAAACAAATGAACACGGTATGGTTTAATAACCTTTCTTAAATGGATTTTACAAATTTTAACAGCTGACAGCTACTTAATACTTAGTAATGTTTAATACTTGGTAATTTCTGTATATATGTATATGAAAACTTTGATAGGACTAACAAGTATGGGTACTTCTGTATTTCAGGAACAGACAGATAAATGGTTATTAGCTAAGTGCTAATTCCCCACAAATGGCCCAGCTATTTCGACTTGGAGCTCTCGTCCCACGAGAGCAAACCTGCTGTAGCGATTTACACTTACTGTTGTAGACGTGTTTAATAATATGAGTTTATCCTTATTTCTGCATTTAATAAAACTATCAGTAAGCACATCTGAAAAACAAAAGTATATCATGACTAGAGATATTTATAAAAGAACTTATCACAGTGTATCTGGGAAAAAAATGGCCCAAACTAAAGCCACGTTACTTGCCTAAATAAGCATTTTCCTCTTTCTGTCTGGGTATCACACACATTCTATAAGCTTCTGTCTGGTACACTTATCTAAACATTCTTAGCCACATAAAACCTCATAATTTTACTGTTTTTGTGAAATGCCCATAAAATATAGTATTTTACTGAGACTATTTAAAAGTTCTATCACAGTGCTTTAAGTCTGACAACCAGGCAGTGTTTGGTAATATGACCCTTTCCTGTGAAGTGACGTCCCGAGGTAGCCAGAAGAGCTGCTGGGACTTCCAAGAGCCGCCCCTACAAAACCTAGGAGTATGGAGGGTCTGCGCACCAGTGCAGAAAGACAAGCTTACTTATGAGTCGTGGTCAGAACTGAAGAAATCAAAACACTCTGCCATAGCAGCATTAAATGACAAACACAGGAAGAGCTCATCTGTGTGCCTTTCACGCAAGCTCTATAAGAGCCAAAACCTTGTCTTTTCACCTCAAGGCTACTTCTTACCTGAACGAGCTAAACTGGCCCTTTAGGCTGAGCTGACAAGATACCAATTAAAGTGAGACAAACCCACCTGTCCTGATGCAGAAGATGAGCACACCATGGTGACAGGACAGTGGTCGGGGGGATTTGGGGGTCAAGGCCTCTCCTCCCAGGAGTTCTGGGCCTGGAGGCCACTCCACTCCAAACACCATTTTTCTTTGTCATGTTCTGGTTAGTGGACACTCAGTATTGACGTGTGAGAGCCCAGTGGGGAAAGTATGTCCTGTGGGCCTCCTCTCTCAAGCTGCCTTGTAAGTTAACAAGGGCAACATCTAATCTCTTCATTGTGCTAAATCTAAGAGCCATTTCATCATGATAAAAATGAAATGTTTTCCTAAGAAAAGGCTGCATGGTTTTTAAAAAATGATTCTTGGGATCTCTAATGTTGAGTGGAGGACAGCCCTGAGATCCCCTTCTCCCCTCTAGCCCTGGCTCTATTGGGTTCTCAGTCTAAGCAAGAACAGGTCATTCTGGCCAGTTTTTCAACTGTTTAGTTTTGTTTGTATATGTGCTTCATGTTTAAACCTTTTTGCATGTTTGGTAGTGGCAACCATAAAAAAAATCGAACAATTCAGGTACAATTTCTTACACAAGTTGTGAATGGCAGACCCACACATGTGAAGACAGAGCATGTGGTGGTTACCAATGGGTAGAGACCAACCGGGTGCTACTCAATACTAAAGGGAAAGGGTGTTTACCAGTGAGACTCAGAGCACCCCATCCAGCGGGGCAGGGATGCTAGAAGGGAAGATCACTGGCTATTGGGAGTAAAACCTCTTTGGAAACCAATTAAAACAAACTACAGAGAACAAGTCTGCCACCTGGGAGCGGGACTTGGCCAGTGTCATGTGCACAAAGGGACTGGTGGACTTGGTGCTCTTGGCATGTTTCTTCCCCCTTGGGAGTCCGTTACCTTTCACAAACAAATGTTAACTATCAAATGTGTCCATTAATTTTGCCGCTGAGGGTGAAACCATCCAGTTAGCATATACACTATCATTTGCATATCGTGGGAACCCAGTGCTAGTGCCATCGGCTCTCGTGAGTGGTACAGGACTCTCTCCAGGCCAGTTCGGGTCTGACATGCCTAAAAATGAAAACAGATAATTTGTTCTGCACTGAAGAACTCAAACTTCATGTGCAGACAGTAAGGCCTTGGCAAAACTCCCTTTGATGGTTAAACCAAACTTGTGCTTTCTGTGCCAATTACATGAATGGTTTTGCATCCCAGGTTTCCCAAACACTGTTCTACTTATGGGAAATATCACACACTCTCTCCTGGTTAATGTAATTTATCACACACTACCAATCTTAACTTCTATGAGCATTAGACTCTCAAATCTGACATTTATCTGTTGAACCGCTTAACCAGTTTCCTAGGGCTGTGTAAAGCATCAGCAAATGGCTGTACTAAATGGCTTCCTGTAGTGGGAACGAATGTTTTCTAAGAAACGTAAAGGAGCCTGCTTGTCTGCTGTCCCAGCTACAACGGAGGAGGGGGGCTTCCTTTCCCATGGAGGGCGCACATGGGCTGCCCTGCAGCATCATCAGCACTTACAGCATGTAGCGCTGGACCCGTGACTCAGGAAGCATGCAGAAAGAACCATCTTAGCTTGAAAAGTGCTGGAAACGCCAAGATTTCAAAAGGATGGATGATGAAATTAGGAAGCAGAAAAAATTTCAAGTATTTAATCCGAGACAAAGGAGGAGTTTTGGCAAGAACCATATTTACTGTCCATTGCAAGGCCACAGCACCACAGACTACGTACTTTCAGAAGCATTGGCTCAGTGTTTAGCACTGGCTTCATAAGTGACAACCATCATAATGGGGGTGGGAATACAAAGGATGTGAAAACAGCAATCTGGGTGTATCTGCCTAGGGCCTAGCTGGTTCCCTGCTACCACACTGCCTAACGGTGGACAAGTGGCTGGGAATAGGGTACAGGTGGCCTCCGTGAGGCACTCACCAGCCCAGCAATAGCCCAGGGGTCCCCTAACTATGTTCTCACTCCAATATATGCGAGGTGCCCCTTTGTAAATTCAATCCCTCCCCAGATCAAGTAAATTTATCTATGTAATGAAGTCAGGAGTAGCCTGACTTGGTTTCCATTCTGGAAATGACATAATTTTCTCAATGTCCCCTGAGAAATCTGCTTTGATCTGCTTTTCCTGTGTCATCTGAAGTTGCTGGGCTGTGTGGTATTGACACTTATTTTCACATCCTTTTAGAAAGACATAGTTGCAAAATGCCTGAATGTAAACTGGATGCAAAGTCAGATATTTACAAACAAAAGGGTTCAGAGTAGGCTTTGGTTTTGTTCGGATCAGAAACATTCTTAAAAAGCATTACAGAGAGTTGGGATAGTGCAGAAGGGGACAGCGTTGCTAGAATCTAGTAAATGCATGTGAAATTCTACCATAGAGTTTGTTTTCAATCCATGTGGAAGGGAGAGAGCGCGGGAGGGGAGCATTGTTACAGTCCACCAGGGGTGTCTCCTCTTCCGAGAGGCCATCATCATAAAGCAGTGAATCAGATGGAGTGGATGCAGCCAGGTCCAAGTAGTCCTGGAAAAGAGAGATTGCCAGTCACCTCCAGCTCTGGGGCACTCCTGGACACACTTAAGGCCCCTTGATGCTCGTAAGGTGGAGTTCTGGCTGTGTCACCACCCTATACTGGTTTTTGACCTCTGTAAGACCAAAGCTCTTCATCTGGGAGGACGGCAGCACTGAGGTACAGCACTGGGTTGCCTCATCCAACTAGGAGCAGAGGGCTAGGGAAATAGCTTGCTTGCAATTTTTTAGGCATGAGAGCGCTCACTGTGGTGACATTACTCCCGCAGAGGCAGAGTGTACCAACTGGCAGTGTCAATCCAGTGGATGCTTTCCAGTTTCCTTCCCAAGACCTCTGCTCCCTACAGAGTATTATGCCAGGGCACTGCTGCACGTTCCAGAATGGTAGGGACTCCCCAGAACAAAGAAAAAGGAAGGTAGCGAGGTCTGTGCCTGAGTGCATGGTACACACAGTTCTTTAGGTCATGACCTTGTATATCATGGAGCATCCAATCAGGGTACGTGTGCTACCATACATGAGAGACAAAACAAACCCAAAGCAAAAAACTCTGAACTGTAAAGGGAAACCAACAGAGGGTTTAAAAGGTTAGGTCTTTGTTCAAGGCTCCGCTTTTTGAGAACGATCTCACGGAGCCAGATGCTAGCACAATAGACTGCTTCCTGAAAGAAAGAAATGCCTTGGTGTCTCATGTCTGCACATAGCACCTGAAGCACCAGCTCCCAGACATGGTGACGGTCAGGTACCTGCTCCTTACACTGCACAGTTTAACTGTGTAGGAAGTCCTGGCCTTGTCCCAGTTTCTCAACACTGCTTTAGAAGTTATTTTGGTATCTATTACCCTTTCTATTCAGGACAACCCTGTACTCAATAGGCTAAGTGTTTATTTTTTATTTTAATTTTTTGTATTGAGTGTGTATGTATGTATGTGAATGTGGTATACGCAGGCATCTGTGTGTGGATGTGTGAGCGACACCAGAGGATGATGCACTCTATCAATCCCTTATTCCCCCGAGAGATGGTTTCTCACTAAATCTGGAGCTAGGCTGGTGCCCAGCAAGTCCCACCAATCCACCTGTCTCTGTTCTCCACAGAGTTGGGGTTACATGCGTGTGCATGGCCATGTTGGCCTTTTAATATGGGTGCTAAGATCTGAACTCAGGACCTCATGCTTGTGCAAGGGCTCTTACCCACTAAGTCATCGCCCCAGCTCCCCAAACTGCTAAGTTATATTACAGGGGGTGGAGATTGTACACCTTGCTTTTAGATTCTGAAAGGATTTTAGTGAATGTGCCAGCGTCTATGGAAATAGTGTGAATGGGGGTGGCTGGTGGGTCATGTTTACCTGCCTTGCTAGCATTCAAGACTAAACAAACAATATGAATAGTTTGTTTTTGAGATGGGGTCTCCCTGTTGCCCCAGCTGGCCTGGAACTTGTTATGGAGATCAGATTGGCCTCAGTTTCAGAAGAATCTGTCTGCCTCTGACTTCTGAGTGCTGGGATTAAAGGCATGTACCACCATGTCTTTTTTTTTTTTAATTTTATGTGAGTGTTTTGATGTATGCAAGTGCACCCATTACATACAAAGCCCATGAAGGCCAGAAGAAAGCATCGGATCCCCTCAAACTGGAGTTTGTTAGTCACCATATAGATGCTAAGAACTGAACCTGGGTCCTTTACAAGAACAGTCAGTGTTCTTAATTGCTGAGCCATCTTTCTAGTCACCCCTCTCCCTCAGGCATGGTTTGCTTGGCCCACATTGGGCTTTGGAATTCTAATTGAGCAGTTAACAAAAACTAAGAAACTTAACATAAATCTCTTAAAATTCTGAAGATCCAGCATGCCAGGACTCCTAACCCTGGGACTCACTCTGTTCTTGATCATCATCTTCTCCAGGTCCTTGCTGATGTCAGTGAATACTGGCCTCTTGTCATGGACACAAGGAGTCCCTGATGAGGGCCCTCAGCACTCCTGGGTGCCAGAGTCCCAGCCACTCTGCAGTCACTGCCCACCCCAGGCCTTCAGAGCAAATGTTGTTAGACGCCTGCCTCCATTCTACCTTCTGATGTTCTAGTCCATTATTACAAAGGATCACCTTTGGCTCTGAAATATTCCCCACTGATTGCCTGTGGAGAGGCTCTTGCCAAGTGACAAGCTAGAAACTGAGATTTCTTCATATTTTAAAGGAAGTCCCCGGGGACTGTCTTGAGGAGCAGGGTTTCATCAGCTGCCCACCCTATGGGACAGCATAGCCGTCTTCCTCTGGCTCCTCAGTGGGAACACAGAGTATCCCCCCCACCCCAGGTGATCCTATCTAGACCCTGGGACTCACTCTGCTCTTGACCATCATCTTCTCCAGGTCCTTGCTGATGTCAGCGAATACTGGCCTCTTGTCTGGTTCCTGCTTCCAGCATTGCAGCATCAGTCGGTACCTGGAGGGAGTCACAGGCAGGGTGATGACCCATCAGGGCCACCACACTCAGCATGGGTCTATGGGGCTGTGTCTCCACTCTCAAGGCTGATTCTGCACTGCTGGCAACTCCGAGTTTCACTGGGCCTAGGGCATGACTTCACTGAGGACCCATAGGCTCGAGCGCTGACCCTGGCCCAGCCTCCTGGCAGTCTTTTCTCTCTAGGTGGACTTGTCCTTTCCTTACTACAGACACTGGTGGACAGTGTTTAGACCCTGAACCCACTATGGTGGCTGGGTAAGAAGTCCTTAAAACTCATACAAAAGGAGGAACTGATTGAAGACTTTTAGATGCAAAATAAGACATCTGGGTATCACTACTTTCTGACTGGATTTGAGGCCTGCTCCACAGGAGCAGAATTTCATGCGTGCTACTGTAATACTAGTCAAAAGCTTGTGGTTGGAGAGGTCATGGCCCCTAGGGTAGAACCTGCTATTAGTATTTTACTAAATGCTGATGCTGTCAAATTGTTTTCAAAATACTTATGCTTGGACCCATAGATCTGGGCCACTCTTGGCTTTGGTCAGAGCAGCTTCTTTGCACAGTGTGCAGTAGTCAGTGGAGAGGTATATAACTGGTCAAAGTGCTGAGAGTAAGAGACTTAGTGCTAAGACCTAAACAGGACGTCTACATCAATACCACCACCACCATCACCGAGGCTCAGGGAATATTGTGAAGAGGAGGAAGAAAGAACATAAAAGCCAGAGGATGGGGAGGAATGCCATGAGATGCTGCCATGTGGATATGGCATGGCCATCACGCTCATGAACTCATCATGGCTGTGGTGACCTAACAAGACCTGCATAAGATTAAGCCAGTCAAAATTTCAGATGGGGGAGATGGTGCCAGGCTCCACCTCTTGATGAGGAGTTACTGGCAGTTGATAGTTGATGGGAGAGGGAGATTCTTTTTGGAGGATCCGATTCCTATGTTGCAGTGGATGGCCCCACGCCTATGTACATATGGGCAGCACTAACTGGACTTAGTGAGTAATAGAAAAAATACATAAGCTGGGAAGGGGTTACATTGGGGAGGATATGGGAGTTGAGAATGGGGGGTACCCATGATCATATTTCATTATATACCTATACGAATTCTCAAAAATCAGGAAAAATGCTTTAAAACGTCTATCAGATGTATCTCTGTCCTGAACCCTCTGCTCCCCCCCAAGACAGGACTGGCAGAGGGCTCTCGAGCTGTGATACAGGTGTGTGTTGGGTGGCTGGCTGCCAGCCCAGGTGCCCAAGGAGGCACCTTCCCACCCTCGTATGTCTAACCTTGCTCTCAGCTAGGTACAGATAATGGCATGAATGTACCAGCCTATGAGCTTGGATGCCTTTCTGCTTCTATCTGGTCTCCTGGACCATCACATTAAGCTGCCTAGTGTGATGTGCAAAGGCTCTGGGGCTCTTGGACTGAGGCTGAGGCTTTCCCTGCCCATCTCTGCACCTTACCTTCCTAGCACATGCTCTCCTCATGTCTTACATTAGGCTTTAGGATCAGGGCTGCTCCCATCAATTCTGAATTTCCTGGGAAGCCCACCAGTTCCCATAGAGTCAGGGACACCAGCATCTCTCCCACTTTCAAGGATGTCTCTCAGGCCTCTGTCCAGTCACTTCCCACCACCCAGCTTGCCCAGGGTTCTCAGGAGTGGGAAGAGAACAGGTGACTCCTCCCATCCAGGACTCGGGGCACGACTGTTGGAGTGTAGCTGGGCAAGCAGAGCCCACTCACATTTCTTCGCTGCAGTTGTCTGGCCTCTCCATCCTGTGGCCCGTCTTCAGAAGGTTGAAGAGTCGTTCAGGAGGAATTCCAGGGTAGGGGTTGCCCCCCAGAGTCACAATCTCCCACAGTAGGACCCCAAAGGACCACCTGTGGTGAGCAAGGGGACCAGTGAGTAGTTTCACCTGGCATCGTTGATAGACCCCCAGATATCTACAGCTCACCTCATAGGCCAACACCCCCCCCGCCCCCAGTGCCCGAAGTGGCCAGCACGCAGGGATTTCAGCCTGGGTCTGGCTGCACCAGTGGGTACAGCACAGGACTGGTAAGGTCTACCAGCGTACCTGGCCCAAACCCTGGGAGGCTTAAGTTCCTGCCATTGGAGGAGCTACACCTCAAAATGAGGACATACGGCTGGCACCTAAAGGGGTGGGAGTCTAGCAATGGAGCTCAGGGTACCCTGCATACCATGTCTACCTTTTCTGCAAATTTTTTATAAAGTCCTAGAACAAAAAAACTTTTACAGAAAAATATTTAATAGTAAGAGAAAACTTACTGCAAAGTGGAAATATAAATATCGTAAAGCACATCACGTGAGCCCACTCAGCAATAGAAAGTGTATATACGTACACCACAGATATCCAAAGGTAGGCAAGAGGGACTGGCCACAGGAGCCAAGTGACTTTTAGCCTCCTTATTCTATTTTTCTTTTATTTTCCAATTCTTCTAAGTCAATTTTTATGTTATCAGAAAATTTATTCTCTTTTATTTTCCAATTCTCCTGTCAATTTTTATGTTATCAGAAAAACTGCTTAAGAAAGAACTACATTTTCAAAGCTCACACTACTCAAGACCTGCATGTCTGCAGGATAATGGAACACTTTAGAAACAAGAGTATTTTGTCTTGAGAAAAATCATGTCTCACCACCTGAGTGCAAGGTCAAGTTTGGGCTGCCACCTTTCAGCAGTTTGGGAAACACAAACTCATCCAAGGCCATCTCAAGTGAGTTCCTGAAACCCTGTGGACAGGTGAACATCACAGGGTACCAGTTCTGAGCCCAACTCCTTTCAGAACCCACAGGAGGGGAAGGGTTTGCAGATCCTGTCCAGAGTAGAGGAGGGATGTGTGAAGTAACAGAAGGAAAGTGGGCTGTGGCTGCCCAGCCCTATGAGGCTGGTTGACTTGCTGCCTGGGCCCAGCCATTTGATGAATGAAGAGCTGAAGGCCTCTTAGCCTGGGCTCACTGGGGATGGCTGACATTGCAGACAGGATTTTGGACCCAATAGTCTTCCCTGGTTAAGCTGCAGAAATGGGCATCGTGGTCTAAAACCCCCACCCGAAGATCCAAAGCCTACACTTACACATCACTTTGAGTGGTGTAGATGTGATCAAAAAGGGACTCAATTGCCATCCATTTGACAGGAATCCGGCCCTAGGAGGTAGTGGAAGAAAGCATTAGTATGGCTCTGAATTCTGTAAGGTGGTCAGTCACGTTCCTTGAGTTTCACCTCCAGAGGTCCTAGGGACAGACTTGACTAGGCCATAGCTCCAGCCTGAACCTTTGGCTTTGTGGAGACACTACTGGGAATCAGGTAGCCTTAACAGCCACATAGGGCAACTTGTCACAACAAAGAAGTTTGGGAAACTGCAAGAAGAAACCCATAGAAGCCATCTCTGGCGTGGTTGCAAGGGTTCTGGGGGTGGGGTAGAGCAGTGTTTCCCAATATGGAGTCAAGAACTTGTCCTATAAGATCCTTCCTGGTATCCCAAGAGCATATGCATAATGGAAAGCCAACATCCAGTGTTTCCACCCTGGAGACCCTGAATGTCAGCACCAAGGCTCTTCTGAGAAACCCTGAGGGAAGAAAAAGTTCACCTGCCAGAGCTTGAGTTTCCTTCTTTCAGGAACTTTCCAGCATCTCTGAATAAGAACCTGAACAGCAGTGCTGGTGTCTGACTTAGCAAACCCTTTCCAACAGCACAATAAACAGCTTTAATGGGCAAGTCTTCTGTTTTTTCTTCTTACCATTTGCCCAGGTTGGCTCAATAGGTAAGTCTTGGGAACTTAACCAATTTTTAAAAAATGTACATTTATTGTCATTTCTAATGCTTGAATGTTTCCTTACAACTTATGTCCTTACTGATGTATGTACTCCTGACAGAACTGTCTGTGGAGCCCACAGCCTGTTCTCAAGGGGCTCCAGGAGCCCTGGTGATCTCCACTGTGACACAAGGCCTCCCTGGAAGGTGCGTGTGTGTATACGTACAGGAAGGCTCTGCCACACTCTCTGCAGGGTACTACTTCCCTTTTCTGAAGTTCTGAGATCTGTGGTCACCACAGAAACCCCAGAAGAAACAAACACGATCCTCATAATGTGGCAACACAAAAGGCCCATGACCCTGTACAGCAAAGCTGATGCAGATCAAGCTGTACTTTGGTAGTAACTGCTGCTCCCTTTATCAAGCAGGGACTGCTTTGCATGCTTGGTCATCAGAACCCTTGAACAAGCCTGTGAGCCCTGAACAGTCCTGTGAATGCTTCCTGCCTGTGCTGTCATGTGGGAGGTTCCAGGAGAGCAGCTAAGACAGGTGACAAGGCAAGACAGTTACCATGGGAACAGGATGGTGTTAGTGAATCGGATGTCCACTATTGCTTGGACTCAGAGGAAATTCTCAAGACCCCGAGATGCATCTCTGGACCCCATTTTCTCCAGGGGATCCCAGGGGCTCTCCCTGTGTAAAGCAGTAATTCCTATCTGTAAACAAGGGCAATCGTGCTGTTTATTCCATTTCACCCTCCTAGGAGCAAAGAGCTGTTTACACGGAACTGAAAACAGTGACCTTTTCCTCTACAGAATTGAGAGGAACTGCAGACAGGGGGCCATTTCTATGGAATTAGGTGGTCTTGGAAAATGACTGTGACTAAAAGTATTGGGGGCCTCAGGATCGGAAAAACACGCACAAGACTCTGAATGGGGCCTCCGGGGATCCAGGGTGGGGAAGGATTTGAGATCAAGGGCTCGAAGTTTCTTCTTCTACAAGTTCACTTCCACTTTGTCTTCTCCAGACATTCTGAGGGTGCACCCCATCCCGTGAGCATCGCTGTGAGCCTACTGTCCCACTCAAGAGGTCCCCACCAGGACACGCTCGGCCAGGTACCTTGCTTCTCTTCACGTAAGAATCTTCTTCATAAACATCTCGGGACAAACCAAAATCAGAAATCTTCATCTTCCGCCCCTCAGCCACCAGGATGTTCCTAGCCGCTAAGTCCCGGTGTACGAGCTGTAGGAAGAAAGCAGAAGGAAGCCTCAGGCTGATCACGGTGGGCGGGAGCTGGGCTCGGGAGGGGCAGCCCAGTGCCGACACTCACCTTCATCTCAGCCAAGTACTGCATGCCCCTTGAGATCTGCCAGGCGAAGGAGATGAGGTCACCCATAGTCAGCACCCGCTCATCTGGGTGATCTAGGGAGCTGGAATTGCGGCTGCCTCCACCGCCCACGTAGCCCGGCCCAATCTTGCGGCTGTCGCGGAGAAAACCTCGTAGGGAGCCATACTTGGCGTACTCCACAATGAGGAGGAGAGGCCCTGGAGACAGAGAGAGGCAGCCCTGGGCATGGGGTCAGGCCAGCCTCAGGCTCCAAGTAGGGTGGGGGAAGCTGCAGGCTGTCACCCTAGCAGCAAGTGGACAGGCACAGATCTACTCTGGGCAGCCAGCAGTCAAGGCTCTATGGAACATGAGGACCTGGAAGGCCAACTCATTCCTGGATTAACTGCCCACTGCTCTATGCTGACCATGTGGACACCAGCTCCCTCCAAGCACAGTAAGACCTCCTCCGGAGGTTATCATGCTTTTCTACTGATTTTATATCCTCTTCCGTCCTTGGTCCTGTAGGCTGAAGAGGGAGAACCAATGGAGGCAGGAAGGTCTGTGCGAATCTGACAGCTCAGCCTTGACCTGAGCTCAGCTCTGTACCAGTTCATCTCCCCACCCATTCCTGCCTGCCCTCCATGACTCCTATGGCTACAATCAGCCCTAGACCTGGTCCCTTTTCAGTTTCTGTGTGTGTCTGCGTGTGCGTGTGTGTGTACACGTGTACACATATGAATATACATGAATGTTCTTTGGCAACACAGTGAGTGTGGAAAACCAACACACAAGGTGGTTTCCTGTTGTCCTTATCAGAAATGGTGACAAAGCTCCTTCCATGCAGGGCTGGGGTTGGGGTCCCCTGTGGTACTTATTAGTCCACAGGGTCCCAGGATGCATTGTCCATTCCTGGAGCTCCCTGCCCAAATGCTCAGCCTAAAATTGATGCCAACAGGGCAGATCTGCCTCAGCAGGCCCAAGGAGTGCTGTGAGCAGTGGCCTCTGGCAGATGTGCCCACTCAAGTCAGTGGACATAGTTGGACATTCTACAGGCTGGGAGTCAAATCAGGAACTCAGGCTTCCAAAAAGAGAATGAGCAGCATGGGAGAAGGATAGCAAAGGGCAGAGGGATCCCAGTCCTGTGCTGGGCAGTTGCCCAGCTTATCTTACGGCTAGCCTTACCATCCTGGCTGCAGGCCCCATACAACTTGATGACATGTGGGTGGTTGACCTGCTTCAGCAGGTTGAACTCAGACAGCAGGTCTCGTAACTCACTCGGGGAGGCATTTTCTGAAACATGGCACACACAAAGCAGGTTACCCACAGCTCCAGGAAGCACCTCATGTTGCTTCATGTTGACTTGTTGAGTAGAGAACAGACTTAACACCTCCCTCATAGGCACATGGCCTGGGTTTACATGGAGGTCCTGAGCACTCAGCCAGTCAAGGCTCCTCATGTGAGGTCTTGCCTATACCCCCAACACTGCTTATGGGGTCAGAAACTGGAGAATCTGAGGACTCCACACTGAGCCTAGGCCTCCCATTCCCTGATCCTATCTGATACTGGAGGGAACCCCTGTGGGCATCTCCAATGTTGCTATGGTGGAGGAACATGTGTGCATGGAGCTTATGCTCAGATCCTGCCCCAATGAGCCAGCATTAAGGCAGCACATCAGGCTTGCAGTTTCTGCGTGAAAACAGTACCACACTCCTTTTGGGTGACTAAGTGCATCTGGTACACTGTAAAAATGATCAAACTTAAATAAGTCCCACTAAACACACACGTCTTGAGGGTGGTCAGAGTTGGCTCCAACTCCCACTAAGTATCTAAATGTAAAGGTTCAGAAAGTGTCAGAAGATGTAGCCAAGTATGCTTTCAGGTTGGCTACCCTGGTGATACACTGCTGCCTCTGCCCCACATATTTATCTAGAATAAAGGGCACAGCTGAGAGACAGGGCAGCAGGACCCATTGGCTCATATATGGGTAGGCAAGGACTGTGCTTGGCTGCATCAGCAATTTGACAGTTGGACTTAGTCTGAGGGTCTGGGGAAATGTGCTGTAGTCCCTGACCATAGCACTAGAACTCAGATATGGAGCAGTGACCCAAGTTCTCCACCACACCCCTGGCTGCCACAGGGCTGGAAGCCTGACTACCATGAGGGTGACACACCCAATGCAGACATAGTCACACCCCTGTATAAGAAGCTGTGTATGCACACTGATAGCCAGATATAAAGAATGACTGGTCACAGGGGCAGAGAAGAAGACCTAGGGATCAGAGGCAGTCCTAGGCCCCCAGTGGACTCTGGGTTGAGAGGAATGAACAGGGCAGATCTGAGTGTTGGCAACTGGCAGCCCATACCCAGAGGATTTTTATTTTTCTTTTTAACCCTGGGCTCTTCCTTAGTACAGGGCAGAAGCACCTTTCACAAGAGCAAGGTCTTCACCCTGCTCTTTCAGGACCACTGGCTATGCGTCCACGGGGCACTCAGATAGCAGCCACCACAGAATAGCAGCTTATGGTCCCATGGAAGGAGGGTCTCACCCACTCCCTCAGGTGCCTGTGCAGTTTCTGGACAGGTACCTTTCAGCATCTTCACAGCCACCGTGGTGTACCCTGCTCTGCCTTTCAGACGGAAGGCTGTTGCTTTGACCACTTTTCCAAACTCGCCTTCTCCCAGGGTTTTCCCAAGAACCAAGTTCTTCCGAGGAAATTCCCACTTTGGATCTTCCTGCATTGGGGTTAAGGGAAGGGTCATTAGCAGAGAAGGGAGAAAGTGTGAGGGGAAAAGTTGAGGAAGAAGGCAAGGCCATTAATCTCCCCACCTCAACACCACCACTATGGTCAAGGGCCAACATACAGAGAGCTGGTCGCCATCTGAACCAGGGATGGTGACTATTCACCCACCAAGGACACCATAGCCAGGCAGGAAAGGCCTGAAGTGAGTCCTCAGGGAAGGGCCTAGACTCAATGTCCTGACCAGCCCTGGCCGCAGTCTACCAAACCCGGGGCCACATGGGATCAAGCTCTTGTCTTCAGGGCCAGCTGTGCCCATGGGTACTTGTATTGACCAGATAGCAGCCCAAACTTGAGTTTGCTCTGACTCCCCAGGGACTCCCAGAGGGCCGAATAGGCACCCATGGCTCAGGCCACCTTTCAGCCCAGAGCTTCCATCCAGTGAAGCAACCTCCCTGTGTGGCTGCCCCATAACAAAGGTGCCACGGAGCTCCTCAGCAGCTGCTCCTCCTGTCCCACATCCTTCATCTTGCCACACCCCAGCTCAGGCCCTGGTTGGCATGCTGCCTTCCCTGTCCTCCCACTCAAGTGCCCTCTACCAATCAGGCCTAATGACCATTCTTCTCGACTCTCCTTGCCCAAGTTCATGAATTCTGAGTGCCAGATCCTGCAAGAAGTCCACCATGCTGTGCTGGCACTGTACTAGGAACCTATCACCCCAGGGCTACCTGAGTATAGACCTCAGATTTCTGTTCACGATGCTCTTCTCTTCCAGGCACTTAGCAACCACAGAGATGGCACAATAAAGACACACAGAGGTCAGAGGTCACACTCTGACATCTACAGGGCATATGGGTCTGGACAGTCTCCTTTCAGTGCACAACTACATATTCCAGCAAGCTTCTGGGCCATTGTCTGGCAAGTCGGCATGAAGATCTTTGGCCCTGACCTGACCAAGGATTAGGTGTCACTCATGTAGGCCCTGGCACTGAGGTTCAAACAGAGCTGCCCTGGGGGTAGGCAGTTTCTCCTAGCAACCCCAGGCCACTTCCCAGCCTGAATGGGCCCATGGCCACTGGAGGCATGGAGTCCCTACTGGATGCCCTTACAGGTGTCCATGCCATAGTCCTTTCTGTTCAAACCTGCAGTCCACTGTGCTCATACCAACCCTTGACTCTGAGTACTATCCTCAGCTGCTCCCAGAGCACTTCTGGCTTCCAGCTCCTGGAATAGCGGAGAGAGCTGAGGGTGGGAAGCTGAAGGGTCGGAGGTCCACCTGAGGGCCCCAGGGGGCCGGGAGCACAAAGGCAGTACTTAGCAAGCCAAGTGGGGACATGGCCAGGACAGGGAAGCTTCAGTGGTAGGATGTCTCTGAGAAGTACCCTTAGAAGGGGCCTCTGTACCTACAGGAGAGGCTAGGGCTTCCCTCTCTGCCCTCATGCCTCCTTCTTCGATGCCTGAGTATTTATTGTTGCCCTGGTTCTCTGGATGAGCATTTCATCATCACCCGCACCCTCTGCTTCCTCAACTTCTCAATAGAGCAGTACAGTGAAATGACATAAAGCATGGGCCTCTTCCATTGTTCTTAGCCCCAGATAAAATACTCAGGAGCATGGGCTTGTGGGGAATCAGTGCTCCCAGCCCTTGGGGCCTCTTCTCACAGTTCCCTTGCTAGGTGGGGTCAAGTTCACACTTCCTGGGACCTCAGGGCCCACATCCCAGATCCTAGTCTGGTCTATCTAAATTGGTACCAGGCTCGCTCCATCCAGACTGCCTGCCTTCATAGCCCAGCTCCTCATGAAGGCGGTTCGGCAAGAGTAGGGGTGCCCCTGCTGGCCATGGTGTGCTAAGTGACAGGTGATGATGGGTAATGACGTATCAAAAACCATGGGTGCTCTACATAGTCTGAAAAGCCTATGGGGCCATGTCACCTCCTGAGGCCCCTTACCGGAATCTTGAAGGCATCCACAGAAACCTGGTTCTCCATGGAATCCAGTGAGGGCCGGCGGGTGCCGGAGGAAGAATAGCTGATTGGAAAGCCCTGGGCAGGCCGGCAGAAGGTCATCTCCGCTGAAGCAATGGGTGGCTTGTGGGCATGCTTGTGGTAGCGGTGGATGCAGAAGGTGGACAGCAGGACCGAGACGATGAAGGAGAAGAGGACGGCTGCTGAGATCACCGTGCGACACAGCTCATCGCACAGCGGGCCTGTGACAGGCAGTAACAGGTTTCAGCAGCCTGGCAGGCACTGCACTCTGAAGGCGAGACATCCTACCAGATGCAGTAGCACTGACCAGGCATAGGTACTACTGTGCAGCCTACCCTAAGACAGTGGTAGAAACAGTGACACAGAGCAGCCTGCCCAGGTCAGAGAGCAGAGGCCATGTGCCTGCGGTACTGGATGTACTGTTTTTCTCTGTTCCAAATGTCTGGAATTGTTTAAAGAAAGGTAGAAGGAGAGCAAGAAAGGATCTAAGGCTCTGGACCTAGGGTCCTGAGTGACTTGGATACCAAGAAAGTGTCCCTGGAGCTACCGGAAAGCGTTCACTCAGTGTGGTCAATGTAACCTGTATCTCCTAACCATGCCTGCTGCCCCTGAAGATGCTGCCTCTAGGGACGTACTTGGATGCTACTGCTAGGAGTGTGGATCCCAGACAGAAAACAGTACCAGAGCTAACATGGGCTCTGCACAGGAAGGGTCTGCCCAGAAGAGAAGTTACTAGGGAAGAACTGCTTTGCTGACCATTCTTCATTGAGAACTTGCAGCTAGATCCTGTACAGATGGCCTGACCCCTATCCAGGACGGTACCAATGGGAACTAAAGTCCAGAGGGAAGGAGGAGCCTCTTGGGTCTAATGGCCTCCTTGCAGTCTCTTCCCTCCGAAAGGTTTGGAGAGGTTATAGGGAGGCCTGTGCAGGGGCCACAACTGTTGGTCACCTTGACTGTCCTCGGGCTCACAGAAGCACTTCTTCTCCTCTGGGAAGCAGTTGCAGATGCCATAGCCGGCTTTAATCCCACGGCGCTCCCCTGGTTCATGTCCCCCAACAATGCTGCCACCTGAGGACAGATGCAGCCCACTCAAGACTCCTAGGATGGCCTGATACCTCAGAGTCCCCGAAATGTGAGAGCCCTGTCCATCTGGTATCAGCAGCTCAGGCCCAGTGAAGGTGAATAGGCTCAGAAGCCCCTTCTGTGGGCAGGGTACAATGTCCCCCCTAAACTGTTCCCTGGCTTTGGAAGCAGGGGAACCCAGATTGCTTAGGCCCCTTGGTGAGGTACCAGAAGACATCATCCAAGACTAGTCCTCAGCAATAGCAACAAGTGAGATATAGGCAGCCCTCAGCCAGGAGAATGGGGGCTTCCATCCATGAGTCAGCCAGGGATAGACAGGCAGGCTATAAAACCCCAGTCTTGGGAAAAGAGAGAGATTGCTCAAACAGGAAGAAGACTGGCTTGCCATATCCTGCTTGGTTGAAACTACTGTCACAAACACTGCCTCTTTGGTGCTGAGGCTGAACCCGCAGTGTTGTGCAAGCTAAGCTGATGCACTGCCTATGAGCCATGCCCCAGTCCAGATTGATGCATCAAACAGATGGATGTGGCTCAAGACTGTGTGCAGGTGGCGCTCCGAGCTCCCCATTGCTAGCTCCCATCTCTGCCCTTCCCTACACACTGATTAAATGCATCACCATGGGCCTGGTGTGGGCTTACGGAGGCAGTCCTGGGGGCAAATGTTGATATCCCGGTTCTCCACAGCATCACAGTGGCCATCAGGGCAGGTCCTGGTGCTGGGGGAGCAGGTGGAGAAGTTCCTGGTGATCCCTGTGAAACAGCACACAACAGGCTGTCACCCCACATGGGAATATCCCAGCATCGTCAACTCTGCTATGGTCCCCTGGCCAATCCTGCTCCTCTAGGGATGGAAACTGAGGTTTGAGTAGGGAGATACCATATATGTAGACACCTGCTAAGCATCCCTGATGGGGATAGGGGTGCTGGGTGAAGCGTCAGGCAGCCCCAGGACTGCAGATAGCCTTCCTCCAAGGAGGGCACTTGAGGCAAGTACCTGTCAAAGTTACACTGCCAATGGGAGCCTCAAGGTGGTAGGCATACTCAGAGTGACATTCTCCTTGGCCTGTGACCTTGGAAGAGCCAGTCTTTCTCCCTCACATCCCAAATTTCATCTAGAACCTCCTTAAGCCCAGAATGAATCCAGCCTGGGATCCTCTAGTTTCAGGGTGGCCAAGCCTTTGTGACCCCCACCCCCACCCCACCATGCCCTGCTTCCTTTGCTGGTACTGGAGCCACACCAGGACAAGGTACCAGGGAGCAGACAAGGGTTAGGTAAAGTCATTGCAGGGCCTGGCATGGCCCTCAGGACCCCCTATTCACTGACCGCCAGTTCTAGCCTCCCCCAGTTCCTGGGCGTACCTTTGCCGTCTCCCTGACGCCACTCGCACCTGCCAGTCAGAGAGCCCAGGCCACCGCACTCCTCACATTCAGCTCGTCTCTTGCTGACTGCACAGGACTCGGGGCAGCCCACTTCCTCAGCAATGTCTGGGTGTGACAGATAGGCCAAGGTCACAGGGGTTAGACCAGGCACACATAGTCTCTAGCCCCCACCCACACTTCTGTGGATCAAGCCAAGGTTCAGGGGTGACCTGGGAGTGAAGCGTGATATGGGATGGGGCATGGGTCACAGGAGGGTACACATTACCCACCTTGCGGGGTGATAAGGACAGGAGGAAGGATATGAGGGTAACCAGGATCAGCAAAGGACAAACAGGATGACTGTTAAATCATTTTCAGAGACACAACAAGCACCTGTTCTGTGTTTGTTCTTAATGCTCCACCCCTCCATGGAACCTGACACTTACACGTCCCCTCTACAGTGACGAGCAGCGAGGCCTGGGCCTGCCTGCGGGTCTGCCGGTCAGTGGCCACCACTGTGTACTGGAGCTCGGCACATTCAGGTCGCTGCAGGGCTTCTGTGTCGTTTACAAACAGGGTCCCTGAGGTGTCCTCAGCTGAGGTGACCACACCTAGAGCACTGCAGTTGGTGCCGGAGGGTTGCAGCTTGTACTGGATGTGGATGCCGCTGAATTCCTGGCAGTTTTCCACACAGACTTTCCCAATCTGGGGTGGGGAGGGCACCAGTACCCCTTAGCCAGTAACTGAAGAGGTTCTTGGGTAGATTAAATCCCAGGATGGTCCTCAGCTTAGTTTAGGGATAGTAGGAATGTTCTACCACCTCAGAACCTGCGGACAGACCCATCTACCTGCCCAACCTAGCTCTGCTTAGGCCACCAAGTCACCAGCCACCTGTGCTGTTGGGAGTCAGGTGTGAGGGCCAGAATCTGTGTGGTTCATCCAACTGTTAGAGCACTGTATCCCAGCTCTGTGACTGCAGAGCTGTCACTCATCCCACCTGAGATCAAGAGGGCTCTTCTGGGGATGCGTGGCTCTGGAGTCCCAAGAGACCCAGTAGAGGTCATGGCTGTGAGGCCCTGTCTACAGGCCCTAGAGACCAGGCCCTTCAGGTCCAGGGCAGAGCCAGGTGTACCCCCCCAGCCCCCGCGCCACACCTGATGCTGTAACAAATCTATCCTCCTGCACTGTCTCGCTTTCCTCTACAAAGTGTGCTTACTTCCATCTTTCAGATGATCCCTGAAACTATCCAAGGTCCCCATGCTCAGCTCAGTTTTCAAAACCATCGAGGCAGTAAGAAGTCACAGTTACTTCAAGGATGGACCAGGGCTGATATAAAGACATAGGTTTATGGGGCAGTGCTTTTATATTAGTGTAAAAAAATGTTTTAAAGAAGGGAGATGGCAAAAATGGGCTCAGGGAACTCTGAGGAGAGGCTAAGAGCTCTCTCATGTGAAAGGATCAAAACAAAGGTGCAAGGTTCTTAAAGCCGCTGTCCCTGGCCTCCTCTGGCACTCTACCGGCTGCCTCTCTGGCCATGGCTCCACCTGTGCTACTCTGCATTGGGTGGGCTAGAAAAGAGCCGCTGCTCACCCACAGCCCTGCCACCTACAATCTGTGGAACGGAGTGTACCACCTTTGGAGCCCCTAACCTCAAGTCATGCAATGGGGCGTGGGCTCACCTGTGCATAACGGCGGGCCCTCCTGTTCACAGAGAAGGAGTAGGCACCGGGCAGATGCAGGCTAACAGGCAACACAGACACATTGAAATGGAGGAGGAGGACACCTGTTCCAGGCCCCTGGAAGTCTGAGTCATTGACCAGGACCACCAGCTGCAGGACTCTGCTCTCTGAGATGGGCAGGCTCCGGTTGAGAATCAGCTCTGTGAGTGGGGACACAATGATGACAACCTGTTACTATGGTTCAAAACCATGCCCCATGCCACAGTACCACATACCCACTCCCAGACACACAGCCCTGCATACACATGCAACTTGCACACATGTGCACAGATAACAGAACGGATGGGCAACCCCATTAGAACCAGTATTTAAAAATTGACAATCCTGCTGAGCTAGGTCTCTGGAAATATTTTTCTGCAGAGGAAGCCTATGCATGTGTGGGAGAGATAAAGGGAGGACAGGGGAAGAAAGAGAGACAGAGACAGACAGACAGAGGGAGAGAGAGAGGGAGGCAGAGAGACAGAGAGGTGGAAATGGAAAATATGCACAAGACATGTGTGTAGTGTGTCGACATATAGGACGTGTTATGTCCTGTGATTTGATATATACATAGGATATTTTTCTGTGGGTGTAATGTGTTATGTGGGTGTGGAGTATATGAGTGGTAAAAGTGTGTTTAATGGGGTGCATGTGTGTAAGTAGCATGTGTAAATGGGGTTTCTGTATAGGGTATTTACATAGTGTGCTTGTATACACAGCATGTGCTATGTTTACATACAGAGTCTGTATGTGGCGTGGAATGGGTGTGATATATTTATGTGATGAGTGTGTAGAGTGTGTATGTGGTTTTCATGGTGTGTGTGTGTCTGTGTGGGGGTGGGTGGGTGGGTGGTAGTGGTGGTGGTGGTGGTCATATAGGAGATAAAGTTCAGCCAGCCCTGATGTCCTGGGAAGGTATCACACCACTGGCCCCTTACTGTAATCATGCATGGTTGCCCGCACGAAGCTGCTGTTGGCCTGGGCCAAGATCTCGTTGGGTGAGTGCTCCACCCGGAAGGTCTGCTGGGCCCAGGAGTCCCCTGAGAGTAGTGTGCTTGTGTACCGTCTCACCAGCTCCCCGGATGCAGGTACCACATCCGCATCGAACACATGCAGAGTGGCCACCACAGTACCCTGCAGGTTTCAAAGAGTGCCAGTCAGAGCAGGTACAGTCAGAAGGTCACATGGCCCAGCACAATCCAGAATTGTACCAGGTGTGTGTTGGTTATCAGAACCAGTCCTAAGGACAGATGGATTAGATTTCAATGTTGGACCCCAGGGGACCACTCGCCAGCAGTTTCAATCACCTTCCCTGGGTCACTGTGCCTCAAGTGTGTCACAGGTATGACAGACACCTGCAGCTGTCTATGAGAATGGGAGCAGGTGCTCAGGCTCCATGTTGATGGGTCTCACCTAGCTCTCCACAGCACTGGAAGGACGCTCTTGTTGTCTGCTGAGGAAGCTGAGCCCACCAGGATAAAGGTGAATTCTACATTATACAGCGACAAATGATATGGAACTCGTGCAGGTCAGAACACTCTCTCAAGCATCTTCTGTGGTACACCAGGCCAGCATGAGTTGTGAGCAAGGCCATAGGGGCCTTTGAATCTCTGTTCCCCAAGCTCCCTGGGGTCAGCTTAAAGTTGCCCAACCAGGCCATTTCCCCCATCCTCATCTTCACCCCCACTCTAGGACACATAGGTGACCAGAGAAGCAAGTTTCTGTTCCCACTGTGCCCATGGGCAGGTTACAGGATGTCCTGATGCCCAGTAGGTGGCAGCCATGCTTCACCTAAGCAAGGCAAGGGGATCATAGGATTGTCCCAGGCTCCTGCCCACTTCAAAGGCTGCCTGACTGCCAGCTGAAGGGGAGTTTCCTCTTCCTCACCAAGTCAGGCAAATCAAGATGTGCCCCCCAGAGGTTTCGAACCCCTGGGGTCACTGGCCTGGTTAGACACCCCAAGGCAAGTACCCCAGGCTGAGACTTTATGAGTCCGGACCCAGTTGACAGGAGGATGAATGGAGAGTCACGTGACTGAAAGTCAGTCAAACAACTAAATAGATAGAGGTATAAGCTGCTGCAGACACCATGTAGGCATAAGGACAAGACAGACAGATAACCAAACACATGCATGGACAAACCTCCTTCCGCTTAAATTCCACCACAGCACTGGCAGTGTCCACACCCCTAGAGAAGGTGGGCGCTGAGTCGTCCTCATCATACACTGTCACAGGAAGGGACACTGTCACCTTCTCCTCACTGACACCATTGTGAACTATGCACTCGGCCTCCAGCACATACTTTTCTTGAAGCTCACGGTCCAGGGCCCAGCAAGTGCTCACCTCCAGGCTGTCTGGGTCGCAATAGAAGGGCAGACTCTCACCTGTCACCAAGCAGATGGGAACCCACATGACTGCTTAGATGGGCAATAGGGTGATCTGCCTTCCTCATGGGTCTACCCAGAGTAGAGTGGAAGAATGGGAGAAGACTCTGCCATCAGAGTTGGTACCCTGGTCACTGGCAGGGCCTTTCGTGTCCCTGTCCCTCTCATGGCTCCACAGCGGTGGACATTGAACTCCAAACACAGGTTTGTTTGCAGTGTTGTTTAGTACTTTTCTGTGGCTGTGCCATCACCCATGATGATGGGGCACACTGGGGTCAACACTTAGGCCTCTTCTGATGACCATGGAGGGCTTCCCCACCCTTGTGGTGGGTTTGTCAGGGGGTAGCTCCAGGTGAGCAAAGGTTGTAAGCCCAGAGAGCTAGCTCCAGGCACTAGCGGGTTTTAAAATGATAGCCACGTTTAAAGCTATAGAAGCGGTATTTACTTATTTTTTATACAATATGAGAAATATCCCAGCTCTGACTTGAAAATAAATGGCAGACATGTGGAGTATGATTTGACACTAAGGCAACAGGTATTTCTACATGTGCAATTTGCATCCCTCCTGTGCACCTGCTGGCTGTGTAACCTGAGGCTGGTCACTGTGCCTCTGGATGCCTCCATTTCTTCTCCAGCAGACAGTACCGGACATCAGTCCTACAGAGTAACCCACAGCACCCTGGGAAGGAAGGGCGGGAAACAGAACTCTTTACTAAGATCTCCTGATGTGACCCAGAATAGGGGGTTTCTGAAGGCTAGAGGATCAACCCTGAAGACTTCTATCGCAACCACAAAGAGATCCAGTCAACCTAGCCTCCTAACCAGAGCCTGTTACAAGTGATTCACAACTGGGACAGACGTCTTTCTTAGGATCTGTTCCTCCAGTTTCATGATTATATAAAAACATGCTGAACAGAAGTTTTGTTAATTTCTAGTAAGAAAGGGCAGCACGCAAAAGCACTGTTTTGTCAAGTTATCTCGTTCTAGGATGTCCACCTCAGCTCAGGGGAGGGTTCTGCTGTGAGCATGGAAACCTTTGTTCTTCCTTTACTTAGGTTTTCGACATCGTCACTACCACGTTAGCAGGCCATACGCCTGGTAAAATGTGCACGGAGCTGCCTTCTTTCATCTCTGGGATCCCACTTGGCTCCCTCAGGGCCAGCTCCAGTGAGGTATGGTCTGCTTGCTAGAACTGGGTTTACCACCCCACACTCAGTTCAGAAGGAAATCCAGCTGTGTCTCTGTGAGAGGAAGCTAGGAAGCTCCCTGATTCTTGGGCCCATTCCAGCATCGTCCTAGCCCATCCTCCCATTCAAGGGCCTGCCTGGTGCCTTCTGTCTCCCTGATTCCACCCTATACTTCTGACCCTGAACCATGGGCAACGCAGGAACCCAACTAAGCCTTTTAAAGGCAAGCCAAGTCCTCTCACACCCTCCTCTGCCTACCATAGCTCCCCATGCCCCTTAGGGAACACAGCCTGGGGATGTTCATAGGTTTGAATCCCCCGTCCCCACTGACCTCTGCTGTGGCTCACTGCACTCCAGCTATACAAGATCCCACCTTAGCACACTCTGAGCAGTTAGATCTGTCCATCTGGCACTAACTCATCTGGTTTGGTGGTCTCTGCCTTGACGACTCAACTAAAGAAAGTCTACTACTCCTGTCCTCCTGACTTTTCTTTGCTCCTCACTCCTTCTAGAAGCCACCTAACTTCTTTGACACAGTCACAGGTTCTATTCCTTAGAGGGCTAGAAGCTTCAGGCAGGTAAGATACCAGCCTATTTGATCACACTTATCTTAACCTTCTTCAACAGTACTTGGCCCATGGCAGACATCCGGGATATATTTCTTGTATATTCAACAGTGCTGAAAAGATAGAGTTGAACCTAAGGGCTATGCAGCAGGCACAAGGGAACAGTCCTATGAGGCTGACACTTACCTTCTAATAGTCTATAAGCCACACTGATGTTGGGGCAAAGGAACTGCACGGGCAAAAGGTGAAACTGGTGGAAAGTGCCTGGGGGCCTGTTCTCCCTGATGCGGAAGGACAGGCCTGACTCTGGGAGGCAGAGATCCTGGGATTGAAGAGAGCTGCAAGCTGGGAAGGAGCCATTGATGAAGGAGAAGTACACACGGGCACAGCCTGGCCACTGGCACTCGCCTTCTCGCAGAGCTGTGGACCCCAGGAAGACCTGGAGGAAGACTGTAAGCAAGGGGAAGCCACCATCTGCAGGGACAAAAAGAAGACAGCTCATCTTCAGGGAGTGACAACCAAACTAGTCAGCTAGTGGGCAATGGGGAGTAGGGCAAGAGTTCCAGGGTTCAATGTGGTCCACAGGCCTCAACCGCCACTTCTCTGCAGCAAGGTGCTGAGGCCTGGAGCATCCCCTAGGCCACCTCTCTGTAGGTTTGAATTAAAATGCCTCCCCCTGCACCAAGAGAGGTACCCAAGCACTGGGGCTAATGTTCCCTGTTCCCTGAAGGTCAGTGACCTCTCAGGGTAGGCTCCAACAGTGTGCTGGCCAGCTGTGCTCCCCTGCCCACCAATTACCAAGTGCTTCTGTCATGGACACATCCCATGGACAGACTTTATCATCAGCCAGAAGGGGAATTTCTGGTGACTTCTACCGTGAAGACACCACAAGCCAGTTTAGTGAGGTCCAGGCCTCAGCTGGAGTGGGGCCCTTCCCTGGGCCTCTAGTCCTAGCTAGTGGCTTATTCTTCCTATAATTGAGAGCCCTCCTTTCCTTCCCTTAGTCCATATTTCACTCTTACAATCCACTGCAGTTCTTTGAACAAACAGTTCAATTGCTGTGTGCTTCTCTCCTGACTGTCCCAGGTAGTGCCCAGTCAGGTGGCTGAAGCTGTCAGGGAAATACAGGCCCACAGCACATTCCACCCAGCATCCACCAAAGGTCTGTGTTCTCCAGCCCCTCACTAGGGCTCAGGAGGAAGACAATGGCAACTGGGGTATGTGAAACCAAGGTCCACCTCACAACACTTCCTCCAGCAACTGTCCAGGCTACGCTGAGAGGAAACTGCCCATCTCATATCGGATGTCCTCCCTCCTTTACAATCCTGGTTGTACCTGACAGATGGGTCAGTCATTCCACACATCCTGGGCAATATAGCTTGCTCTATATTCATGACACTCTACCTTGCCTCTTATTTGTGGACAGGCTGAGTGAGGCCATGCCTTAGAGGAGGTGCTGGGAAGGTGTGAGCTATTGGGTATACACAGTCACCACCTCATCCCACAAGCCACTCGGATCCTCCCGCCTCACCACCGGGGTTGGTATCCTATGTGGCCTTGACTGTAACTCTAGCCTTAGGTTTCTGTAGCTGGCTGGGTCTCTAACTTCTCTTGTCTCCTTCCTGTATACCTGCTGCCAATGGGGGAGACCTGCTGCTCCCCAAGTTCCAGGTCACCAGCTAAATTAACCCCCTGGATTTTCCCAGCCCTCTGAATTCTTCTCACAACTGCACATTCTTATCACCTTACTGCAAACAGCCTCTGTGTCACAAAGAGAAGATTCTTCCAACTCCCAACAGCCTCAGGAGGCCCAGGGTAATTGGTGCTCCCAAACTCTTGTGACTCTTCAGACTGGACATAGAGCAGCTGCTGAGCCCTGGGGAAACCCCTACCCCAACCTGTAGGCTCAGTGCTAGCAGCTCAGATGAGGGCAACCTGAGGAGAAGGCCAAGATACAGTGGGGATGGGGTGCCAGGCCGCTCCCTTACTGCGGATGCTGAGCTGTTCCCAGGAGCTGTGGTTCAGGCTCTGGTTGAGGTAGAGGAGGCCAGTGTCTTCCTGGATGCGGATCCAATCATTCTCATGTAGTCGTGTGCGATAGGCACCATAGAGGTACTGGCCCAGGCGGAAGCTGGGTACTTCTCCAGGGGCGTCTCGTAGGGCATGGACATAGAGCAGAGGTGTGCCGGCTGGCTGGTCCACATATAGCCTCTCCCGGTAAGCATCTCTTGAGAAGTAGAGGCCCAGAGGGGCTGCAGGAGGCATGGAAGTGTGTGAGAGGGGGAGGGGCAACGAGCCTCTTCTTCATGAACAAAAATATGAATTTGACATTCTAATCTTAGCAGGAATTTCTCACTTCTGGTCCTAAGAACATCAACACACAATTATCTGTATCGCTAAACATGACTGATAAATTGTACCACATCAAAACGAAGGAGGGAAAAGGGGGAACAAAGGGGAGGAGGTATGAAACAGCTGCAAAATAATCCTCAACTACCTGAGTATGAGAAGCCCTGAAACTGGACTCAAGCCAAGAGCTCAATGAGCTTCTGAACGCATCACCTGGAGCTTGTTTCAAGCGTATGAAACCCTGCCAATCGGGAAGACAACTGGCACCAGAAACTGAGCGTTTTATAAGAAAGCAACTGAACTTTATCTAAACATGTTCTTACTGTATGTCCCAGCAATTTCACTCCATTTATCCAATAGAGATGAACACATCCACCCATCAGGTGACCTAATTGCAAATGGTAGAATTATTCTTGACAACCAAGAGCTAGAAACAACCTCGATGCCCTTCAATGGGTGTGCAGATAGGAAACGCTACATCCCCATTATAGACTCCCGTGTAACAATGGAAAGGGATAGACTTCATACACAAAGTCATCTCAGTGAGTCTTACAGACATCATGCCCAGCTTAAGCAGCTAAGTAGAATGAACACACATGGTGTGATTCTTGACTAGTTTCAAGTGATTAATCTGGCTGGTAGGTGGGTGTGGGGTTGACAGCCTGGGAATGGCAGGAGGGGACTTCCTTGGGAATATAAATGTCCTACATCCTGACTGGGAGACAGACCATGTGGACAAATCCAGCTATCAACATTGTACAGTCTTTGAACCCTCGATGGTCGGCTTTCATTGTCAACCTAATTGGATTAAGAAACACCTAGGGGATTAGTGAGGCACCTCTGGGCTGTCTGTGAGGGCATCCCTAGAGAGGATTACTAAGGGGATATACCCTGAATGTGGGTGGTACCATTCTGCAGGCCTGGGGCTTGGATGGACTAAAGGAAGAAAAAGAAGAGCTGGCATGCCTTCTCTGCTTCCTGTCTGTGGTGATGTGAGCTGTTCTGCACCACCACGCCCACCCTAAATAGACTCTGCTAAATAGACTTGTACCTCTGAAACCATGAGCCAAAATATATTTCTCTATTTTGTTTCTGCTCATTACTTTGGTCACAGCTATGAAAATATGGCTAACACAAAGCTATGTAAATTTCACTTAAGAAGCTGAAAAACTAACCACAGAGGGGGCTGTGGATGTCGGCCTTGACTGGGGCTGTGTGAGCACACAACAGCTCACTGTACTGTGCTGCTGACTTTTCCTATATCCAACAGTCTTCATAATAGGTCTCTTTTTTGTTTTTTTTTTTTTTTGGTCTTTTTGAGACAGGGTCTCCCTGAAGCCCCAGCTGTCCTGGAACTCACTATGTAGACCAGGCTGGCCTTGAACTCACAGAGATCCACCTGCCTCTGCCTCCCGAGTACTGGGACTACAGGTGTGCACGACCACACCCGGCTCAATAATAGGTCTTTTAAATAGTAAGAGCATAAAAATGGATACATAGGGGCTGGAGAGATGGCTCAGCAGTTAAGAGCAGTGACTGCTCTTACGGAGGACCCGGGTTTGATTCCCAGCATCTACATGGTGGCTAACAACCATCCATAACTATAGTTCCAGGGAATCTGAAGCCCTCTTCTGACCTCCGTGGCACTACACAACACCGGTGCACTCACATACATGCAGGCAATACACTCATACACATAAAATAAAAATAATAAATAAAAAATTTATAAATAGTAAGAGCTTTTTGGAAGTCTGTGCACACTGCTGGTCAGAATATGAGATGGTTCAGCCACTGTGAAAGACAGTATGGTGGTTCCTTAGACTATTAAACACACCACCATAGGATGCAGCAATTCTACCTCTGGGAACAGTTCAAAGAACCGAAAACTGGACCTCAAAGAGATCCACACTCACATTCTTAGTAGCATGAGTCACAACAGCCAAAACGTGGAAGCAGCCGTAGCACCCATCAATGGGGACACAGAATGTGGGATGTACATTACCTATAATGGAATATCCTTTGGTCTTCATTGGAAAGGAAAGGCATTCTGACACAGAATAGAACATACATGGCTGGACACTGCGGACACGACGGCAGCCAGAAAGGTACAAATATTGTCTGACTCCACTGAAGAGACACACAGTGACATGTGGAAACAGAAATAGCCTGGTATTTAACAAGAACTTGGGGGAAGGAAAGGAGAATTGTTATCTAATGGGTAAAGTGTTTCCATTCTGGATGATGGAAAAAGTCTGTGGATGAATGGTGGAGATGGCTGTGCACTCTTAATACCACTGACCTGTACATTGAGAGTAATTAAGATGTAATTTTGTTATATGCATCTTCCATAATGAAATACTGAGTTTTTAAAGAAGCAAAAATTTGGCTAAAACCTATTTTCTAAAAACCCTGTAAATAACTCTATAATGAACAAAAGACACCAACAGACAGGTAGACACGAGAAACGCTGTGCTCCCGAGCGGCAATCAGTTCACTCCACGTGTCTCATGGCATCTGTCCTTCTGAGTATTTCAGAGGTTTCATCTCAGGTCCTCTCTAGAGTTTAGGGAAACACTCAAGTGCTAACATGAATGAGGCGAAATGATCAGGCAGGACCATTTGGGATCCCCAAATGGTAAGATGCTCAGAAAATGAGAAGGCTTTTGGCACTGTGAAATGCTTCCCGGGGACTACCTCAAAGTCAGTCAGGCTGGGAACACAAAGTCAGCTTGCAAAGGAAACTGCTGAAAGAAATGAATGTGGGAAGAAGGGGAGGGAGAAAGGCAAGAGAGAGCAAAGAGGGAGGGAATGGGAAGGAAGAGGGGGGAGGGAAGGTTAGGAGAGAAATACTCTGGCCGGAGCCAAATGGGCACTCATACATGGAGAGCCCACCTGACGTAGAGCCTGATGGAATATTTAAGGAAAATACGAAATCTAATCCTTGTTCTTTCTTTCTGACTCTGTCAGCAAAGTTCAGCTGACAAGTGTGTAGTTAGAAGGCTGACACCCTTAGCTAGAACCACTGGTCTTGTGTCCTGATGAAACTTTCTCAATCTTTTTGTCTCAGATGGAGACTTCTGCAATGACTTTCAGACAGGATTTTTTCATGGCTTTTTTTTTCTTTTTTTAAAACGATTTTTAATATTTTTCTTTATTTTATGTGTATGAGTATATTGCCTGCATGTAAGTGTGCCTGTGTTGTGCAATGCCAACAGAGATGAGAAGTGGGCATTGAATCCCCTGGAACTGGAGCTGCAAATGGTTGTTAGCCACCATGTGGATGCTGGGAACCAAACCCAGGTGATCTGACTGGGGTCCTATGCAAGAGCACTCAGTGCTCTTAACTGCTGAGCCATCTCCCATCCACCTGCATGTTTTTCTTTCTTGAATTTAAAATAATTTGCCTGGTTTTAAGACTTTCCTGATAATCAATATGCACGTTTCCTTTTCACTGTAACCCAGTGCCTAAGGTATAAAAGATATGTACCACCTTCCCTTCGAGGTCCAGATTTTGAGGCTTGAGCCTCCTATACCCCAGATAAAACATCTGCTTCCTGTACGCTCCCTGTGTCCTGCCTGATCTTTGCAATACACACCTAGGGAAGTGTCTCTGGTGGGACCTAGAAGCCCTAGTGGCAGAGCTAGGACCTGTAGCAGGGCTTGCCAGAGGCAAGCTAAACACCTAGCCATCCTGCCTCTGTAGCCTCTGGAGTAGTACCATCCACAGTGCCAGTCACATTTGTAGGAACAGCTAAGGAAGCCCCAGAAGGTACCACAGGAAAAAAAACTTTTGACATACTGCCCCTGGCCCCACCCACTCAAATGGGCCTCAGTTAAGGCCTCAACAGGAGCCCCCCATGTATGGCTGAAAGTCACCCTCTTTCTCAGCTGGCCCAGGTGGATAAATGTAGGAATACAAAGGAATCATACTGATAATCAGGGCCTGAGTCTGTCCAAAAAGAACCAGTTGCTCTGGGGCAAGATCTGGTAGCAGAGCACTGGTGACGTGGGGACTACAACAGAATAATAGATGGGCATTATTATTCTGCCAGGGGAGATGCCCTGCTCAGCACACTGCACCTGCTGCCGGGCTGTCTGATCTGGGAATCCTTGTAGATGCTCCACGATGCCAACTTCAGTAGTGCACGAGCTGGGGTGCGGCAGGCCTGTGTTCCCGAGTCCTCAGTCAGTCAGTCAGTCTCTGAACTTGAAAGAGCAGGCTGGCAGCTCCAAGGGCTGTGTCAGCCCCAGAGGGTCACAAGGATAACTCTTTGCTGCTTCCCTGGCACAAGACAGGTGACCCAGTCACAGAACGAGTCCTGAGAAAGGGTAGCTGATGACACCCAGCTCTATGAGGTCTGGTTGGTCTGTGATGTCAGGCTGGTTGCGCCCACCCCTCAGTGGCTACAGCCTTCTCCACAGATTTGCAGACCTGTTCTTCCATGAGAAACCCCTTTCTTGGGATCTCAAAGGCAGGCTAAGGTAAGTGTTCATGACTTCCACGGGCTCCTCCTGCTGCTGCATCCCTGGCCCCTGCTACTGTCATGAACTGGTCTTGACGCACTGTACAATCACCTCCCTTGGCATGCCACCTGGCTTAGAGCCTCAGGGCCACCATGGGCAGGGTGCTGCTCAGCCTTTCTCGTACAAGACAAACATCAACGGGAGTGGGTGGGGTGGTGGGTCGTGTCCCAGCTCACAATACCATGCCCAGAAACCACTGTGAGGGAAACCCAGGTCCCCAAGGGCTCATGATATAATACACTGCTTAAGGACTAGCTCACAATGCCTTGGGGAGCAGGTATTTCTGGGCACAAAGACAAGAGTGGACACATAGGGTAGCAGTGCTACTACACTGACTACCCAGAGTCTTGTTGAGCCTCTTCCCACCCAGCATGCTGTT